GGGAAACAGGCACAACCAAATACACGCAAATGAGCATAATCAGGCTTAGTGCGATGAAATAACTCAAACGGAGACACATTGAATGTCACAGACGATGGCATACGATTGATCAGATATACTGAGGTTAGTACCGCCTCCGGCCAATATCTGTAAGGAACTGAAGCCGAGTTGAGAAGCGTTCTGGTTGTTTCAATTATGTGTCGATGCTTGCGTTCAGACACACCGTTTTGTTCGGGAGTATATGGACAGGAGGCCTGATGCATAATGCCATTTTGAACCAGAAATTGTTGGAGCGTTTTGTTCATATATTCCATACCACCATCAGATCTAAGAATCTTAATAGAGCTGGACGTGTAGTTTTCAATTTGCTTTTTAAAATTTATAAAAACAGAGGGAACTTCCGATTTATGCTTAAGGGGAAAAAGCCAAGTAAAACGGGAATAATCATCTACAAAAATCACATAGTATCTAAAACCTTGCACAGAAACAACGGGAGCAGGTCCCCAAACATCAGAATGAATAAGCGAAAGAACAGACTTATGACGAGTAAACGAAGTATCAAATGAAAGTTTGTGAGCTTTAGAACTTTTACAAGACAGACAATTTGCAGAAAATACAGTAATACTAAGATGAGGATTGTATTTGGCTATAGTAGCCAGTGCTCGGTCATGAGGATGACCCAGCCGCGAATGCCAGATTTACGATGTAGTTGCTGTTGTAGAAAATGCCGAATGACTAGCCTTGGATAGAATACTCGGAACCTGGTAAAGACCGTTGCTGCACGGACCGTGAAGAAGAACTTTCTGCGTCTTGAGGTCCTTAATCACAAAATCAGAAGGATTAAAAAGAATAGATACATTGTTATCTTTTGTTAGTCTTGATATCGATAACAAATTATAATGAAGATTCGGAATATGAAAAATTTGAGGAAGAAATAGCTTACGAGTTGGGGTTGGCAGGAGGCCAGCCCCAGTATTAGCTATGTTTACCGTTCGTCCATCACCTACTGTGATATTATCTGTTCCCTGGTAAGCATTGGAAACAGACATATTCTCCAAAGAATGTGTGAGATGCGACGTGGCCCCAGAGTCAAGAAGCCAATTGTTGTAGACTGACTCGGAGTTTGCCACCAAAGCCTTACTCGAGTTGTTGGCAGTAGTTGGTACATACTGTGGATTAAGGCGATGCCAACAATCTTGAGCTGAATGCCCTTTCTTGAGACAGATTTGGCAGGAAATCGATGAATTTGCTGAAGGTCGACTGGATCGTGGCAGAGACACATTGGATTTGTTTCTGTTCTTGCGAAACGATCCACGAGTGGCATAAAGCGCGATGGTAGGATCCGTGGAGGTGGTGTTACGAAGAGCATCAGAGGCAAGATTTATCTCTTCGCTAAGCAAGAGAGGGTAAAGCTGATCCAAAGAAATCGGATGAAGCATGGTTCTTATAGCAGTTTTGAAAGGTTGGTAGATAGCAGGAAGACCATTAAAGATGTAAAGAATGATATCTTCGGTATCTACAACAGATCCTGCCGCAGCAATCTGATCGACCAGAGCTTTGATCTCGGCCAAGTATTGCGACATGGTAAGATTCTTGAGGGAGAAATTATGAAGAGTGTTCTTTAGTTGAATGACCTTAGATCTATTTGATGATTGAAAACGGGTTTCAAGAACACCCCAAATGGCGGTTGTGGAATTAAGATTGATGATATAGGGTAGAATGGGGGCAGAAATAATATAGCAGAGTGCGGCAGCAAGAATTTTATCGGTAAGGTGCCATTGAGCAGAGGAGGGATTGGGAATAGAGGATCCATTTTCTTGAGATATAAACTTATCTGGAGGTGTGGCCGACGACTCAAGAAATCGATGGAACCCCTGAGCATTGAAGATTTTGAAAATTTGGGGTTTCCAGATGGCGAAATTATCCGCCGTGAGATGAACTGGAGCAATATTCTTGATATTTGTTACCAAAAACTTCAGAGATGATGAGATCTGCATCTCTTCTTGCTCTTCCATGCTAGAACTTTCAGAGTTTCCGGACATTATGGAGTTTGACATGAGCAACCTGCTCTGATACCATGAAGAAACTCACGTTCTTGAAGACGGACAGAACACCGTGAGTTAGACAGAGGAAAGGAAAGATACGCAAAACATAAAGTGGAAAGAAGAGTTTATTATTTCCTTATGCTATCACAACTACATGATACAATATTTATAGAATGCTGAAACTAATGTCAGCCAATCAAAACGAGACAACACATAATGAAGAAATACATTTATATATTATTTAAACTGTATGTCTTTATAGCTGCATTTGAGATTCGACCTTCAAGGCAAAGTTGATGGCTTGCGAGAGAGACCAAACTGAATTAAGCTCTAACTTATATTGAATTTGATCTTTAAGGCCTCCAATGTATCTTGCCACTAAATTATTATTTGTCTCAAATATGTTATTGCGAGCACTGAGGAGGTAGAACTCTTCCGTGAACTCATTAACGGTCCAAGAGCCTTAAACACAATGCTAGTATTTGAGATATAACATCTGCTCGTAGTCGATGGGTAGGAAGTGCACTCTCATCAATTGTTTCATTCGAAACCAGCTACGGACAGGGCCACGCCCTTCGCGCCTCCGGCTTTATAGAAGTTGCTGCCACTACGCACCTGCACCTCCCTTCAGCCGACACGCCACATACTTGACTTGCTTTTCCGGATGGATTTCCATATATTCAAAGAAGGTCTCTACTGCTCGTTCCCAATCGAGATAGTCTTTGACCGTCGAAGAAGGGGATATCCATCTTAACCTTAAATTCTCTATAGTCTCTACGCGGGTTTCCTGCAAACCTTCTCGGGGCATCGTAGTAGCGATGGAGGCGTTCATCTTCAGAATCTGATACATCATGTGGAAACCTTATATTAGCCTCTCCTTCTGAGTCCGAGAAATATGCAATGTGTGCTTGCGGTCGTCGCCCGCCAAACCCGGATTCAGAATATGTGGAGGCGCCTGGGCCGGAGCACGAACGATTAAAGTTGGATCCACCATTGCCTTGAGAGCAGCCAACTTTGTCTTCATCTCCATGGAGAGGTGGACAAAAATCTACTCTTAACTCTTCAAGATGCTGTGTGACGCTAGCCTGAGCCGCCCACATCGTGTCCAAGCTCCGATCATCATCGGGAGCCTTGTGAGAACTTCTGTCAGCCATCTCCCAGGTTGGCTCTAATACCACTATGATGCAGCAGCTCACCTGCACAGGAGAAAAACCACAATAAGCAGAGAAAACTTCTAAGAGGCTTCTATATTTCTTCATGTCCTTCTTTGTGTAAAAACAAAAGTATATATGGGGAATCAGTAGCTTTTCCTATATACTAAAACTGGGGTAGCATAAACTAAGGAAGAAAGATACGGCTAAAAACAGAAATAGGATAAAAATGGTTAGCTAAAAGGTGGTAGTGGTTCTGCCCCATGTGTAGTACGCCTGAAGCAGCCCTCATCATATGTAGCCTGCATCACTTGGAAGCTAGAGTTACATGATTGTACTCTTCTTTTTTGTATATTTGTTAACCCAACTCCACCAATTCAGCCAAATTTGTTTGTTACAAGCTAATCACATCACTGAAAGATCTTTCTTAAAGGTCTTGTGCAACTGCATTCTAAGCGATAGTAGGTTTCATGTATTGAGAAGGGACTTCTCAAGCTCTTGTCCAATGTTTAAAAAAGATAGAAATTTTTTCAATAACTTTTGGGCTTTGACAATATGAGCAAAGAACTGTCCTTTGAAGTCAGAGAAGGAGATGATTCTCCTTGAAGAAAGGTAGAAGAACAACATAGTGGCCCCCCCTTGAAAGTTATGAAGAGCAAAGAATATTTTATCAGTTCACCCAAAATAAGAAGATAGATTATTAAATCAAAACGAGTGTTATGGCCATCAAGGTTAGACTTCCCTTAGCACAAGTGAAGCACTAACATCTTAAATTTCATTAGTGTTTGAGCCCTGACACTTTATATGAATTATATAAGCTAGCATAACCTCAATAGTATTCTCCTTAGAAGATAGGGATCGTCATCTTCAAATGGTGGAGCAACAACTCTTGCTTTCCAAAATAAAACTTATTTAGATTTGGAAAGATATCCAAATTCAAATCGGCAAATATCTATTCAATCTTTAGGGTGATCCATATGATGGTTCATAGTCTAAGACATTTTCAACGTTCTTGACATAAAAGAAGTTATTAGATCCAAAATTGCCCACGAAAAGATACGTAGAATTTATTTAAAAAATGAAGTGAGCGTGCATATCCACAAGAGAGAGAGATCAAGTACTAATTCTTAAAGAACCGGTTGGACCTCTTTTAAGAGAGGAGCAAATCGAATGCTACAAAAATTAAAAATAAAAAAATCAGAGAGACAAAATTCTTGGAGATCAAAAACCTATTCAATATTTGAGCGATATTCAATAATCATGGAGGTAGAGTTTAATTTTTTGTATTTTTAATTTAAAGTTAATTAAATTTTGAAAAAAAAAAAAATCATCGAGGTAGAGCTCAGGCCATACAATAAATAAATAAAAGGAGATGCATCACTCTTGTTATGATATATTTTATCCTAATGAGAATTGTCAAAAAATAAAAATAAGAAATAATTTACTGTTTGTGTTACCATTTCCTTGAAACGGTTGGATGTCAGCCACTCAGCAATTAATGCATTCCACGAAATTTTTACAATTTCAACCCTTCTTTCTTCTTAAAATAGATTGAAGCAACTTTTGTCAAGTCTCGCCTGCAATTTCAAGCTATTGAAATCACTGTACGTAGTTAAAAGGCTTAGTTCACTTCCCCCGCCATTGTTGACGAACTCAACCTTGACTTCGTCATCCACGCCGGCTCCCCATTCTCAGCCGTCCGCTTCCATCATCAACGGTTTCTGATCCAAGCCCGAAAGGTCAACGTACTTTTTTATGTTCAAACTCTTCAACTCTTCCCACATATCCACTATATATACCCCTTCAAGCACTCAGATTTCTCTCACAGCTACTTCATCCATTCTTCTTACATCTTGAATCGTTTCTCTACACTTAAATTAATCTAATGGCTTCTCAGGCAATAGACAGCCACCGAGAGGGCGCTGAGGTGTTCCACGGCGATGAAATCTGCAGGAAGAAGTCGATCGAACTGCTCGAAGAGCTCTGCCTTCCTAAGGGTCTCTTTCCCTTGGAAGACATCGAGGAATTCGGCTATAACCGTGCTTCTGGCTTCATATGGCTGATCCAGAAGAAGAAGAAGGATCATGTGTTCAAGCAGATCAAGAGAGCCGTGTCTTATGCTCCGGAGGTGACTGCCTTTGTTGAGAAGTATAAGCTGAAGAAGATGACCGGTGTTAAGACAAAGGAGCTCTTGCTATGGCTCTCTGTTGTGGAAGTCTATCTTGAGAATCCCACATCCGAGAAGCTCACCTTCAAAACTGGCACAGGACTCTCTGATAGCTTCATTGCTTCTGCTTTTGAGCTCTAAGTGCTATCTATGTAAGAGAAGACGAGTCATTACTGCTTTAAATTATGTTATGAGCTGTGGCATTTCATAGCCTTTAATCGTTTTTTTTTTTTTGGTTGTGATGCTCTGTATCTGGTTTATATGATTGTAACTTTGTGCTTCTTAATGATATATTATCTTCCTCGCTAATCTGGCATCGTATTATGGAAAGCAAAGCAAGCTTCTCGGAACTGAGCCCCTCCAGCAAATATATAGTTGATGAATTGGACGAAGCAATTATATAAGAAGAATGTTTGATCTAAAATGGGGAAAAGATAGAGAACATAAAATTTTGACTTGAGTGATTTCCTTCCTGTAGCCAAACAGCTTCTGAAGATCTCTTTCACTGTCTATTTAGCTAAACTAAACGAAAAGTTTAACGATCTAAATCTTAAACGAATTTAGTTGTCGTGTTGATCAAAAGGAATAGTTGGCATAAGCTTGTAAAACTTAGACTTCGTTTGGAATGGCTTTATTACTGTTTCTTGGAGTAGTTTTTTTATTATAAAAAATTATTTTTTACACTAGAAAGCTCCTTTAAGAACCAGTAAAAAAGCCGTTCAAAACAAAGTCTTATTGGTAAAGACCTAGGCTTCGTTTGGGACGGCTTTTTCATTGCTTTTCAAAACGGAGTTTTAATTCAAAAATAAAAAAATTTGTACTAAAACTCCGTTTTAGAAAGCAATAAAAAAGTTGTCCCAAACAAAGCCTTAGGCTTTCTTTCGGCTTCTTAAAGCAGCTTTTAAGTACATAAATTAAAATTTTTATATTAAAAGGATGCTTTAAGAAGCAGTAAGAAAGCCATACCAAACAAAGCCTTATTGGTAAAGACTTAGGCTTCGATTGTGACGGCTTTCTTATGGCTTCTTAAAGCACCTTTTAAGTATATAAATTAAAATTTTTATATTATAAGACTGCTTTAAGAAGCAGTAAAAAAACCGTCCCAAAGGAAGCCTTTAGACGGCTTTCTTAGTTCTTCTTAAAGCAATGTCTAAATTTTTTGTGCTAGTAAGCTGCTTTAAAAAGCGATTAGAAAAATGTCTTAAATAAAGCCTTAAAGTTTATTCTTTAATAAGGTTGCTTAAGTCTTAATTAGCTAGATTAGCAATAATTACGATCTTATTAGTCAAATTTTTGATTAAGTGAATAGCTGAACATGAAAGTCTTCTATGCTTCTGCTTCTCTCCCTAATAAATATTTAGGTTTGACAATTTGTCCAATCTATGTTATTTGATTTAGATTAGATTTGAAAAATCAAAACAAATCAAAGCGTCCAAAATCCAAACTCCTCTCTGTCCTCAATTAAACCAAATACTTATATTTGATTGTGCATAAATTGCATATTATTTTGGGAAAAAATAATTGTAATAAGAACATAGACTACACCATTTTCTTCTTTTTTTTAAAGAAAAAACCAAAAAATTTCAACTCCAATCTTATTTTGTTTTAATACAATATGTTCTCTACATGAATGATAATGTATTGAATAGCTATGTTTATTTGTTGCAGACCAAGCCAAAATTCATGACTGTTTAGCCTTTCTCATTATGATCATGAGACAAATTCAAAGAATTGACTAAATTCTTTAATTGTTGCAAACCGAGCAAGTAATGAAAGAACCTTTTTATTGGCCTTGTTAAGTGATATCTAAAAGACAATTCTTGTATATCTAGCATTTATTATTAGAATTGGGCATTGAAATTGCCAAGGGGCTATTGGACTTAGGACTGCAAATGAATGGAGTGTTTGACCAGCTAAATGAACGAATTCGAACACTTTTGATAAGTACTCAATACCTTAATAAATGAGCTTGAATAACGTGTCGTTCGGCTTGTTTATGTTCATCAAGAAGCTCGATTATGACACGTATTCAGTTTGATTTGTCTTAAAATAAATAAATAGTTTTAAAATAAATACTATTAAATTAATTTAACAAATTTAAACATTATTAAATTATTTTAACTAATTTAAACATTATTAAAATAAATAAATAGTTTTAAAATAAACATTATTAACGAAAAAAAAAGAACTTGTTTGAACGAAATGTGCCGATTAATGAGCTTGAACTCGAATAAAGCCTAAATTATAAAGCTTCAATATGAACACCATCTGAGCTCGAACATGGGTTATTTAAACAAGCTTGAGCTCAAATATACATCGAAAAAGTTCGTTTCTTATCGAGTCGAGCTCGAACAAGGCCTTGTAGACGAGTTCGAGCTCGAACATGATGAAGATCAGCTCAGCTCTTTTTGTTTGCAGCCCTAACTAGACTCTTATCTCATGTTGAGTGTTAGTAAATTGCCTTTTAAGTCAGGAGAAGATGGATGCTTAGACAAAGGCAAGAGAGCCACCATAGTGGTGTCTCTTTAAAAGTTGTGAAGATCAGATAATATTTCACCATGCCACTCATAACAAGACCAAATATTGTCAACTCAACGCAAGTGATATGGATTTGCACGATTTAATCTCCCTTATAACGTGTTAACAAAATAATACACACACAAACATCATCTTTGTCTCACTACATGCGGTCGGCGACATGAATCATTTTTCTTCATTGTGTCCTATTAAGAGTCAAATTCTTATATAAGAGATAGAATTTATAATAAACTTGATTCAACATCTTTAAATAGAGAATATTGAGTCAAACCTGTCGGATTCAAATTTTTTCATGAATGATTCCTGACCTTACTAGTAAGCAAACTAAAGAAACTGGAGCCTTTAGTCGGAACGAAAGGACAAAAGAAGGCTTATGAAGATCTTTAAAGAGTGTGAAGAGGTAAATGTTCTATTAACTTAAAAAGGTTTAAAAGATGTACCAAGAAATCCAAAATGTGCTTTTTCTCACTTAAATTATAAGGGTCTAGGAGTTACAGGGTAGGATACACCACAAAAGATAAAAAGTATAATAATAAATGCGACCCTTTACGATCTGCTCTGGAGATGCATCTTGGTCAAATAGACACTTATCATGATGTTACTTCATTGACCCAGCTTTTCAGGCTTGAGGAGAGTTCCCTTATATTGAGTATTCGTGGGTGAGTCATCGAAGGTGAGTCTTATATGGATTGAGCTAGAAAGACTATTGTTAACGAGTTTTTTGATTGGTCATCGGCTTCCTGGATGAGGTTCTTGGGTTGTATTGGTGTATTGGCATGAAAGGCGAGTCCATGTTAATTGTGGGGGTAGCGAGTATCATGCTTGAATTGATAGAGTAAGAGGAAGCATATTTGTATCATCCTTGGGCTGATCTTTCCCAGTGGCTGGATTGTTAAATTTCATTGATGGCTCATTGATTGAGCTGACAACCAGTCGCTTTCAGAGTGTGCCTCCTACATAAGGGCAAGTTCACTAAGTTTGAGTAGTCCTATGTGACCCTTTGAAATTTCCCTTAAAGGCCATCTTCTCGGGTTTCTTTGCCGAGTTGCGTCGAATCCTTTAGCCATCATGGTTGAAGGTGATCATTCTTGGACAATTCTTTATGCTAGCATTTATTGAGTCAGGGTTCTTTCATTGAAACATATTAAATATATGTGAGACATCTGAGAAGATATGAACAAGTATATAAACCTAAAAATATATGAGGATCAAGAAAAACATTACAAAATTAGCTACAAAGTTGAATTGCATAAAAAATGCATAAGGTGAAGTTAATGTAACTAGTTGTATATCGTACAACTTAGACATGTAATCATTTGTTATTCGTATATGATCAATTCTAGGTTTTGGGAGATACATTTTTATTAATTTTGAAATGTAAATAATTTAAATTATATCATAATTAATAACATTTTAAATCTAAGTCACATTCGAATTATGACTTGATTAATCTGATCTATATGAATATGAATTCACACTCTTAATTTTGAAAAGTACCATTTAAGATTTTTTAATGCTCTTTCTTATAAACAATGATAAGCTCCAAAATAATTTATATATGTTGCGTCATGGAACATTCGGGGAAATAATGTCTTACCTTTGAATGAAGATGTAGCACACATACTTATAAAGAGAGGGGGGTACGAGAGTTATAAGAGACACCATAATTTTTACATGAAAAATCCAAAAAGAGAGAAAAATCATGGGGTCTGGCCAAGTTGTAATGAATATACTAGTGCTTGTTATTGATTACAAATTATGCCCTTCCTCGGGGAAGGAGTTGACTCAATGTAGAAAATATAGTGCACATTACATTGTTGGGGTTCAATGAATCCAATGCTATGAGAGTTATTTTCGATAGAATGTTGGTATGTTCGTTGAGTTGGTAGAGCTATAGTCTAATTACGAAGGTCAAAGGTACCATAGTTGGACAAATGAGTCAAAGGAATCGTAGTCGGTAAGTGACGTAGGTCAAAGGGACTACAGTCGGTGGGCGACAGAGGTTAGCGGGCTCGTAGCTGGTGGACGACGGAGGTCAGAGGGATTGTAGTTGGCGGACAATAGAGGTCGGAGCAGGGACCATAGTCTATGTGCGATGGTGGTTGGAGGTAACATAGTTGGTAGGCGATAGAGGTCGAATGGATTGTAGTTGGCTGGCGACAGAGGTCACATGGAACATAGTTGATGGACGATGTAGGTTGCAAGGACCGTAGTCAGCGAGCGACATAGGCCACAGGGCTCGTAATTAGTGGGCAACAGTGGTCGAGGAGATCATTGTTAACTGGCGATGGGAGATTCGAGGGACCATAGTTGATGGGCAACAGAGGTCGAAAGGACTATAGTCGACGGGCGATGATGGTTTGAGGGAACATAGTCGGTATGTGACAAAGGTCCGATGGACTATAGTCGATGGACAATAGAGGTCGCATGGACCGTAGTTAGCGGGCAACATAGGCTACAAGGATTGTAGTTAGCAAGCAACGTAGGCTGCAAGGGCCATAGTTGGTAGGCGGCGGAGGTCAGAGGGATTGCAGTTGGAGGGAGATGGAGATTGGAGGGATCGTTGTCGATGGGTAGAGGTCGGAGGGACCGTAGTCGATAGAAGATAGGTCGGAGGGGCCGTAGTCGGTAGGCGATGGAGGTCGGCAGTACAACATTTTGTGGGCCATGTTTGTTATAGTGGTCTGAGGGATTGTAGTCGTCAGGCATTAGTGATCAGAGGGACCATAATTAATGGGCAATGAGGCCAGCGGACGACAGAGGTCGCACGAATTGTAGTTAGTGGGCGATGGTGGTCGAAGTGGTGTGTCGATGGCATCCGGGCGGAGATCCGATGACATTCGATGGTAGGGCGGAGGTCCGACGATGAAGTTCTAGCAGTTATCGATGGAAGTTCACTAGCGGTGGTGTTTGGTTATAACTATCCAATCTTCAGCCAAAAGGTGTAAGCCCCCAAAGGTCCAAGCCCCCTTTCATGTGGGAAGATTGGGCCTATTTATTGATTTTGAGAGTGACATGCCCCATAAATATGAAGAAGATATATGATAAATTTTGAGTGATCAATGGGACGACATATACTGATTCCCTTTATTATGAAGTATTTATTCTTCATTTAAGTGCTTTAATGATGTAAAAATTAAAAGATTTTAGGCTTGTTGGATTCGTCTAGTCAAGTTGCTCGATTCGACAATAAGCATGCTATATTTTTGTGTATAATTTGATCATCTAATTTATGTTTTGAATCTTCCAAATGTGCTTCGGCCCCCCGATTTGGACCTATTAGGCTCGTATTCGATTAATTTTGGTATCATTGGGTTTACCTCACTAATTCGTTCAACTTAACTACAAATTTGTTGAGATTAGAATTTAGATGATCATAAATTTAATCTTGAACATAGCTCACCTTGACCTGTTGGTTGAGAGCTTAGACTTCCAACTAAGAGTTATTGGGTTCGAGTCTTTGTATATGTGTTGTGTGTGTGAGTTTGACTAAATGGCCTAAATGTTCCCAATATATATATTTTTGAAAGTTATATACCTCAAGATTCGTACTTGGTCAAGGAAATTGTCGATAGTCTTATCTATCTACTTCTCAAAGGAAAAACAATGTATGCGCTTATTCAATAGTCTCTGCCGTGTCACTCGGCAAGAAAATTTCGTTATATTTGACTTAGCAGATAATAATCAGTCAAGTTAAGTTTCTGAAGACATAATCCAAATCCACCCGCCATTGTTGAATATCTCAATCTCGATTTAATCCTTCATGTTGACTTCTCCATCCCATCCTTCTGTTTCCATCATCAATGCCCCTAAAATAAGCCAAAAGGTCAAACTCTTTAGCTTTTTCCATACCACTATTTATACCCCTTCAAGAACTCAGATTTCTCTCACAGCTACTTCATCCATTCTTCTTACATCTTGAATAGTTTCTAAACTCTTAATTAAGATAATGGCTTCTCAGGTAATAGACAGCCACCGGGAGGGCGCTGAGGTCTTTCAGGGCGATGCAATCTGCAGGAAGAAGTCCATTGAATTGCTCGAAGAGCTCTGCCTTCCAAAGGGTCTTTTTCCCTTGGAAGACATTGAGGAATTCGGCTATAACCGTACTTCTGGCTTCATATGGCTGATTCAGAAGAAAAAGAAGGATCATGTCTTCAAGCAGATCAAGAGAGCTGTGTCTTATGCTCCAGAGGTGACTGCCTTTGTTGAGAAGTACAAGCTAAAGAAGATGACCGGTGTTAAGACAAAGGAGCTCTTACTATGGCTCTCTGTTGTGGAAGTCTATTTAGAGAATCCAACATCTGAGAAACTCACCTTCAAAACTGGCACAGGACTCTCTGATAGCTTCATTGCTTCAGCTTTTGAGCTGTAGAGATGTCTATCTCTATAAGAGAAGTTATTAATATGATGCTCTGTATCTGTTATCAATGATTGTCGCTTTCTACTTCTTAATAAAAAATTATTTTGCTTTCTAATATGGCGTCGAATTCTAAAGCCCCTCCAGCAAATAAGAAAATTTGAGAAAGCAATTATATAAGAAGAAGATTTGAAGTAAAATGGGGGGAAAACAGAGAACTCAAGACCTATTTCATTGTTTATTTAGTTAAACTAAACGAAAAAAACTTAAGGATCTTAGTTTTCTGATTGACCAAAGAAAGGCGAGTTGACATAAGTTCATATAAAACTTTTTTTATGAGGATTTCTAAGTTTAAGTTTTGATAAGCTTGCTTAAGACTTTGTTTGAGAAGATTTTTTTTACTGTTTTCTAGACAGTATTTTATTAAAAAAAAAATTTTTGAACAAGAAATTTTTTTACTAAAGAGCTAGTTTAGAAAGCTTGAAGAAAGCCGTCTCAAACAAAATCTGAGCCAATTAATAAGATTAATGATAATTATAAGGTTGATAGTCAAATTATTGGCAAAATAAATAGCTGAATATGAAATTCTTCTAAGCTTATGGTTCTCTCTCATAAATAGGCTTGGCTTTTTGTCCAATTTATGTTATGTGATTTAAGCTTCGTTTGGGATAACTTATGGCTATCATATTTTTGCTGCTTTCGAGATATTTTTATATTAAGAAACTGTTGTTTATAACAATAATAAAATTATCACATAATGATGCCTTAGATTAGAATATCAAATATCAAATAGACCATTGTAATTTCCAAAAAAAAAAAAAAGACCATTGTAAGCCTATGGTGCCCAATCTTCCATCCTTCATGATTGGCAGCATCATTATCTCCTTTTTGAAATATCTTAAAAAATTAATCTAATGTTTTATAATCTTTATTCGTCTCAACAAATTATTTTCTTTTTATTTTTGCTAATCTATTTAATTTTGATCTAATTTGAGCATAAATTAATATTTTCTAGATACAAAAATATACCTAGGGAAAATATATTAAACAAAAATTTCAACTCTATTCTTGATACATCATTCAAAAAATTATCTTGATCGGGCACGAATCTTGATACAAAATTGGGTTGTAAACTTTTAAAATTAATTCAGAGACCATCTCAATTCCGATTTCAGCAAACTTATAGTCAAACTGAGCGTCTCGGAAATACGAACCCAACGACACCAAGTTCGACCCAATCCGAGCCCAAATGGGTCCAAATCAGACCCGAAACGTTGTTGGAAGGTTCAAACCACAATTTGAGTTACCAAATGGACTCCGATTTTGACGAGCTTATACTCGAATCGAACGGCTCGACGAGACGAATCCAACGAGCCCAAGATCACTGAATTCCGACATCACTAAGGCCCTCAAATGACCAACGAACGGTGCTTGATCGTAGGATTCAATATCGACCGTCCATTCAACCACTCCCTATTCGCCCCTGATCTCACGCCTATTTACGGGCCATGCCACTCCAGAAAAACTATAAATAGAGCCCTCATTCTTCACAATAGAGAATCCAAGCAAGAGAGAGAAGAAGACAAGAGAAGGAAGAAGCTCCTCCTCGACAGCCGCCGGACCACCGCCGGACCACCGCAAGAGCACCGCCGGACAACCGTAGGAGCACCGCCGGACCACCGTAGGAGCACCGCCGGACCACCGCAGGAGCACCGCCGGACCACCACAGGAATCTCGCCGGACCACCGCCTTAAGGCCCGATATTCAGACCCGACGTCCTGCTTAAGGCCCGACATTAAGACCCGACGTCCTGTTAAAACCAGATGTTCTGCTCAAGGCCCGACGTCCTGCTGAAGGCCCGACATCCTGCTCAAGGCCGGATTATCAACACCCGAACTTAAAAGTGACATCAAGCCTAACACCCGATTCCTATCAAATAGTTACTGATCGTAAATCTGATCGCCCTTAGAGGGGATTCAGTTCTTTGTAACTGACTCAAAGTTTATTGGATTTATTTCAACTGAGCTTGGCCCCGTGGTTTTTCCCCTTTTTAAGGGTTTTCCACGTAAAAAATCTTGCTTTCTCTGTGTGTGAGCTAGTTATCCGTACAACGCTAAGACGTAGAATTAAATCTCTATCACCGCATATTTTCTAGCCCGCAACAATTCTTATTTCATTTTAATGCATTAACTTTATGAAGAGCAGGGGCAGAACCCCCTTGAGCTCAGGATAAATTAATGCATTAACTTAATGTATTAACTCCACAAAAGATGGATGTAATAGATCACATGAGCAAATAATTATATTTAATATCTATGTGGCAATAGGCCATTGGTCTCTTTGTATTTCTTTTCCTATACATATAGGACCTGTATTATCTCGGGACAAACATACACTTCATTTCTTTCATCTGTTTGGTGTTATCTTCTTCCAGCTTCTTTCTACTTCATGGAATTCTTCAAAATGATGTTGAGATCAAATGTGCAAATATGATTTCCAATCAAAATCTTCTAGTCTTGTTAATTGTAATAAGGTTATAAGTTCTTTAAATGTGAAACATAAATACAATAAAGAACTAAAATCCTTAGGGCCTATTGAAGGATTTCCTAGGAAAAAGAAAGTTGATTTTAAATTGAGTCATGATGGTGGAGAATCTTCCCCTTTTTCTTTTGCTAAGGGGAATGATGTTTTATTATAGCATGGAGCTCGAGCTATTGGGGGGTTATGAAATCTTAACTAGGATTAGAACAAGCAAGCTACTTATACTTTTGTCATTCAGCATTCTTCAATCGAGATCAGCCAAATCTTTATAACCAACGCATATTTAGTGAAACTTTTTGGCGTAGTTAGACTCGGTGATTTTTTCCTTTCTAATTTTGTCATGTATATAGATGTGTCAAAAAATGATCCGAACCGCTAATCAAACCCGAAAAATTCGAGTTCGAGTTGACCCTTTTAATATACGGGTTGGGTTCCGATTCGGATTTCCGACCCATTTATTGATTGAGTCAAGTTGGAGTTGACCAACCAATCTGATTTTACTCGAAATGACCAATTTAAATTATTTTTATTTATTGGTATGATTGTCCTAATTTTTATTAATTTATCTAAATCAATTGTTGAAAAATTAGAATTTTTTTTAAATCATTCAAAATGGGTTATTGGCTCGGGTCCATATTTTTGACCAATTTATTAAACGGGTCAGATTTGAGTTGATCGAATTCGGATAGGATATGAACCCAACCCGTTGACCCATTTTTATACCCCTAAGGGCTAAGTATATATTCTAATGTCTTTTGAATTCTCATGTGTCACATCTTCTCATAAAATTAAAACATTAAATTATCCTTTTACAATCCTTAATATACTAAAATATAATAAATAGATAATCATGTAATTTTAAATCAATTAAAATTCAAAGAATTATTCAATGAGTTTGAAATCTCCAGCACAATTTGAATGTCAGCATAATTAAACTAACTTATCGCAATTGTCCATAGTCTTCTCTCATTATTTCTGAAGAACTGTAATAAATCATTACAAACGAACTCTCATTAAATTGTGCGAATATGCTATAGAAAACTAGCTTCTCCTTAGAAATTTCCGCGGTGAGAAGAACTCTTTCTTCTACAGTCTCTCAAAGGTTCAAACAGTCAAAGTTTCTGAAGGGACACTCCCACCGCCATTGTTGACAAACCCAACCTGACTTAGTCCTCCTTGTCGACTCCTCAATCCCAGCCGTCCGGTTCCATCCCGAAATAGCAAGAAAGGTCAACGTACTTTTATACGTTCAAACTCTTCAACTCTTCCCACATATCCACTATATATATATACCCCTTCAAGCACTCAGATTTCTCTCACAGCTAGCTCATCCATTCTTCTTAAACCTTGAATAATTTCTGCATTCTTTAGTTAAGCTAATGGCTTCTAAGGCAATAGACAGCCACCGAGAGGGAGCTGAGGTGTTCCACGGCGATGAAATCTGCAGGAAGAAGTCGATCGAATTGCTCGAAGAGCTCTGCCTTCCAAAGGGTCTCTTTCCCTTGGAAGACATTGAGGAATTCGGCTATAACCGTGCTTCTGGCTTCATTTGGCTGATCCAAAAGAAGAAGAAGGATCATGTGTTCAAGCAGATCAAAAGAGCTGTGTCTTATGCTCCAGAAGTGACTGCCTTTGTTGAGAAGTATAAGTTGAAGAAGATGACTGGTGTTAAGACAAAGGAGCTCTTGCTATGGCTCTCTGTTGTGGAAGTCTATCTTGAGAATCCCACATCCGAGAAACTCACCTTCAAAACTGGGACAGGACTCTCTGATAGCTTCATTGCTTCTGCTTTTGAGCTCTAAGAGTAATATATACAAGAGAAGACGAGTCATTAATGCTTTACATTAGTTATGTGTTATGGCATATTTAGTTCTTAAATGTTCCGTATCAGTTATTTTTTATTGTAACTTTATGCTTCATAATGAAAGTATTGCTTTGTTTGCTAATCCTGCATCTAATTCTGGAATGCAAAGCAACCTTCTCGGGACTGAGCCCCTCCAGCAAATATATAGTTGAGGAATTGGAATATGCAATTATATTAAAACAAAAAGAACTTAAAAAAGAAAATTTTGACTGAGTTAATTCCTAACTGGAGCCATACAGCTCCTGACCCTGTAAGGACATGTTTCATTGTCTGTTTAGCTAAACTAAAAGAAAAATTTTACGATTTATTTCTTAAAACAACTTAGTTGTCTTGTTGACAAAAAAGGCAAGGCGACACAAGCTCATAAAACTTGTGGGTACGACGAAGGCATCCGGAGGCCAACCGGAATGCACAATGTCACTCCTTCATTGTGTACCGCGGCTGGTACTGCTTGTTACTGCGGCTCGATACCGTTGATGTGGCTGCAACGTATAGAGCTGCGTTCGGGATCCGTAAAGAATAATTTCTCTTATAAGCTTAATTTAAGTCATGATTAGTAAGATTAATAATATTTATGAGCTATTTAATTGAGGTTAACAGTCGAGTATGACTAAATAAATAGTTGATTATGAAGTTCTTCCATGATTGTGGTTCTCTCACTCATAAATAATAAAACATTAGCCTTTTGATGATTCAGTTAGAAGAGTAAATGTATTAGATTTGGTCTATGTTAAAAAACATAGAGATGGATCTTAAAAGACTTTTGATTAGAAAGTATGAGAAATAAATTTTTTTAATCAGATTTAAATGAGAATTTGACTCTTAATAAAATATAATGAAGAAAAACATTTGATGTAGCCAATCCCATATAGTGGGATAAAGACTTGAGCTCATTATTTGTTGTTAATTTGTTTCCTCATACTATGAGCATGATAATTAAATTCAAGAAAAGGAAGAAGCCATAGTGTAATCCATACATGGAAAGCTAATCCTTTCTCTTTGAAAAGAAAAAGATTGCCACAGACAAAAAAAAAGAGAGAGAGAGATGAAAATCTCTTTACAAAATTGGGGTTGCAAGAACTTGGTTCTAAATAAGGGTGGGAAAAGAACTTGCCAACCCATAAATCTAAATCAAACCAACCATTTCAATTAATTTTATTTTGTTTTTGTTTATCAAAATATCTCTAGAACCAGTTCAAACTAAGTCAGCCCATTTCAAGCTATCTCAAATCAATTCAAGCTAAGTTGATCCATTCAAGCAATGCCAATCCTATTCAAATTTCTTATAAATTTTATGTCAAAGATATCTTGTCCAAGGAAGCAACTTCTTCCAAACAAGTCGGTGACTTCACCGATTAAGTTAGTGACTTATCAAGCCAGTTTGTAGCTTTCTTAACTAAGGATTAAACTTTCATTAAATAATGAATTTTATCCCAAATTTCGGAGCAATGATCTAGAGAAATAACATAGGGTAGAAGATTTGGAGAGATAACCGAGTAAAGGGCAGCGACAAGATGTTGATTAATCTGGAGCCAAGTTTGATAAGAATAAATGTTGGGGGTGATCCGTGAAGTAGGAGGAGGGCAAGAAAAAGAACCGTCCAAAAATCTGTCGAAGCCGTTCGCACGAAAAAATTTGAAAACTTGCGAACGCCATATGGGGTAATTGTCCGAAGTGAGGTTGAGAGAGACAATGTTCTTGATGTTGTTAACTAAGAACTTCAGTTGAGGGGGTATGGGGAATGTCCGGCATAGAGCTGGAGGATTGGTGGATGTTGGGGGCAACAGTGGCAAGAGAAGTTGAGGACAACTCCATGAGGTGAAGAAATTATTGAAGAAAAAGAAGTATCGCCAGGATTTCTTACTAGCGAGAACAAGATGAGAGTAGGGCTATTAATATTTGACACGACACAAAAATCTGATTCAGACCCGACCCGGAAAATCCGGGTTGGACACAAACCGATTTCAAAACGGGTCGGGTTTGAGTTCCAGGATTCGACCCGTTTGAAAAAATGGGTCGGGTTCGGGTTGACCCAGCGGGTTGCCGGGTCAACCCGAAAACCCGTTTAATTTAAAAAATTTGGATTCCCGCCCGTTGCCCGCTGCCCCCGCCCGCGCTGCCCGCTGCCCCTGCCCGTGCCACGTGCTACTGCCCTGCGTCCAAAACTGAGGAAATCTTCAACAGAAATTTCTGAATTTTTTTTTAACATATTTTAGACACATCGTGCTCTTTTCATTCATATCATATCACATAAATTATATGTAAAAATATATAAAATTTTTAAAAAAAAAAAACATGATTTATTATTACTAAAAATGATGAAATTAATGAATATAATACCTATGACATACGGCATAGCTTTCCATCCTCTGTACACCACAGGCTCATCTTCCCCTCCATCATTCTCTCCTTCCATTGCTACAAACTTCTCAGGATTAGCTCTGTTCTCTCTCTTCTCTGCCATTTCTAGCTTTGAAGCCATACCTCGAGAGAGAGGGACAAAAGAGGAACAACAGAACAAAGAAAAATGGAAGACGTGGAGCGACGTAGATGACTAAGATACTAAGATATTGCTAGAAGGAAAAACAGAACAAAGAAAAATGGAAGAAGATAAACCAAAATTAAAGCTTCTGTTCTGTATAGGTTTCACGCTCAGAGGAAATAAAAACTAAGAGGAAATAACTGCTTTGCTTCTTCACATAAAAACGAAAACATAGGCAAGCCGGTTTTAAAACTGTATGAATTTAAACGAAGCATTGCGTCACTTGGTTTGAAAAATTCCAACAGATATATCTAGCTGGCTGACTCTATGTGAATGACGCACCTCTTAGTCGGTCATGTTTTGGCCGACTCACCGAGCAAAATGGGCGGTTCGATCCAAGGCATCTTCACGAATTTTGAAGTACGAATTTGGACTCTTGGTTATCTAAGGGTGTCAATTCGGGTCGACGGGTCGGGTTCGTGTCGAACCCGACTTGACCGGGTGTAACGGGTCAACCAGAATCCGACCCGCATGGGTTGCTGGGTTGACCCGACCCAACCCGCGAACCCGTTTAATTCAAAAATTGGGCGATGTAAGGCTAGGCAGCATCGGCGGCACGACGGGAGTAGGGTCGACATCGACCTGTTGCTTGCAAACTGCGGAGGTCGTGTTAGAAACAGACGGAGCGACTGGCGGACAAGCTGAGTGACGCGGATGGACGCAACTCGGCGACTAGCGTTTGGTAGAGTGGCGCGGACGCCGCACAGGCGCGGACGCGACTCGATTTGCCTGGACTGGCTGCGTGATGAGTTGACCGCGATGGACAGACGCGACGGATGAGATGGGTTGACAACGATGGACAAACGCGACAGACGCGGGAAAGTCACACGGGAATCGGAAATTCGGAATTACAAAATATAAATGGGTCAATTCGGGTTGACCCGCGGGTTGTCGGGTCAACCCGAACCCGACCCGCTTTTCAAACGGGGGTCAGAAATTTGAACCCTGAACTGATCCGTTTCGCAAACAGGTTGACCAAAACCCAAAAATATTTTCGGGTCGGCTCACAAGTTTTCACCCCTAAGGTTGACCAGCTAAAATAAATATATAATTCAAACTATAGCCCATTATTTATTTATTTATTAAAAAATAATTTTAAAAAGATATAAAAAAAGCATTTTCAAAATAACTCTGATAAATTGAAAGAATATGCTACACAAAAATATCATCCCCTTAGAAATTTCTACAATGAGAAGAATTCTTTCTTCTGAAGTCTCTCGCATTAGTTAAAACAACCAGTCAAAAGTCAAGTTTTTGCAGGCTTAATCCACTTCACCCCGCCATTGTTGACGATCTCAACCTTGACTTAGCCCTCCTTGTCGACTCCTCAATCCCAACCGTCCGCTTCCACCATCAAAGCCCTTGAAAATAAGCCTGAAAGGTCATTGTTTTATATGGTCAAACTCTTGACTCTTTCCATATCAACTATTTATACCCCTTCAAGCACTCAGATTTCTCTCAGAGTTACTTCATCCATTCTTCTTACATCTTGAATAGTTTCTCTACTCTTAAATTAAGCTAATGGCTTCTCAGGCAATAGCAAGCCACCGAGAGGGAGCTGAGGCGTTCCACGGCGATGAAATCTGCAAGAAGAAGTCGATCGAACTGCTCGAAGAGCTCTGCCTTCCAAAGGGTCTCTTTCCCTTGGAAGACATCGAGGAATTCGGCTACAACCGTGCTTCTGGCTTCATATGGCTGATCCAAAAGAAGAAGAAGGAACATGTGTTCAAGCAGATCAAGAGAGCCGTGTCTTATGCTTCGGAGGTGACTGCCTTTGTTGAGAAGTATAAGCTGAAGAAGATGACTGGTGTTAAGACAAAGGAGCTCTTACTATGGCTCTCTGTTGTGGAAGTCTATTTTGAGAATCCAACATCTGAGAAACTCACCTTCAAAACTGGCACAGGACTCTCTGATAGCTTCATAGCTTCTGCTTTTGACCTGTAGAGATATCTATCGATATAAGAGAAGAGAAGACAACAAGATCAAATAATTTGAGGATTTAATTCATGATTGCAATCTTTTCATGTATGTTTTATATGCAATTACATTGTCTTCTATTGTTTTTTCTTCTTTATGTGATGATGCATTTAGTATTTACATGCGTTACTGTATTTGTGGTTGTTAATGAAATCTTCGCTGCTTAATCTGAGCAGAAATCCTACAAGGAATAGCTTTTAAAATTTTCCATAAGTTAGGAGTCAAATATAATTCTGTATTTTTTATTTTAACAGTCATCCATGCCTAATTTTTATGTATATTTTAGCAACATTTTAGGCTACATGCCGTGTGTAATCAAAGGTATTTTATTATTCCTTAAATAATTTTTTCTATAGTACACAAAAACCATATATAAATGGAGTTATAAGGTTATTTTTGGGGAAGGACCAATGGATCATGTTATTCTGATAATTTTTTACAATAAATTACTTAATGGATCTCTCACTTTAAGTTCATTTCTCTTCCGGGAGAAATTCTAAGATGGATGACCTCCTTGGAAGTTACACTAAAATGATGAAACTGTGAGGCCATTAGGCTAAAGAGGGTAATATATCGATAGTTAAGAGTTTGAGTTGTTATATGTTAGATGATTATCTTATAAGAGTCATCACTCCTGCCCGTCGGCATATCTTATTATCCTATTGTAACTCCTTATATTATATATTTTATCTATTATCTTATATTGGGATCACACCACAACTCATAATTAAAAAAAAAAAGTCTATTGAACCACCCTCGTACAACTGATATCCTACTCTAACCAATCTGACTTATTTTAGAACTAATCAGCCAATATTCTTATAATGCTACATTTATTTTATATTAGTTTTACTATTTTTTTATGCAAATTCAATATCATGTATGAATTGCATTTAATCAATGAAATATAAAAGAAATTATACACTATTTAATTATTTTAGAAAATCATAACTATCAATTTATCCAATGAGATTCAATAGTATTATAGTTAAAATACTCATAAGAATTATATATATCATATACAAAAAATTACATGGTGAAAGTTTGATAAATTAGAAGAAAATATTTTTTTTTTTATTGATTTGGAGGAGATAAAATTTATCAAGCACCAAAACCACTGAAAATAAAGGTACGATTTGGATTACCTAACATGATTAGAAGAAGTCTCAGAATAGAATCGATGGACAAAAATGACCTGGATAGCCTTGTCTCTCTTTTCTCTCTCTACTTTTTCCCCTCTTCCTCTCCTTCCTCTCCTTCCTCTCCTCCTTTCTTCATTTCCTTACCTTGAAAGCCAAGCAAATAAGGAGGGGAGGAATGGCTAAGTGGAGAATTTGCCCAGTACTCTGAATCCGTTAACACAGTACTGCATACCACTCCTAAAGTTACCGTAAAACAGAGAGCTTAGCATATCAACTATAATTTCCCGATGCCATTGGGCTTGAAAGCACAACGATGCAACACTTTAGCCCATATTTTAAGATTTTTATTTTAAAATATTTTTCATAATTTTAGGTTATTAAAAATAATTGACTCCAATTAAAGATACAAAGAAGGAAGGAGATTGAGAAGAGATGAGAGAGTTTAGAAGTTCGTAGAATCCTAAAGCTCTAATTAACCACCTCTATTATTTGATCCGTCAGACCATCATTATAGGACCTTTATTGTCAAACCATTATTAAACCTACGTGGTCAGACCACTGTCATCTAAATACTATTGTTAGACCACCACCATCTGACCATCATTGTTGGTCCACCCCCACTGAACATCTATACATAACATAATATCACCACCATCTCGCCATCATTATAATACCACCACTATATCGCTCAACTTTGGTCAATTTATCATTATTACCAATTATGGTCTCCTAACCACCATCACCTGACTGGAATCTCCCAAATATTAATATTTGATTATAGTCCTCTAACAATAATAAACTAACTATAATCCTCCAACAGCCACTCTTGTCTACAGACCTTTGATGATAACTATAGTTTGTTTATTTATAATCATTTGACCACAATAAACTGACTATGATCCTCTTACCACCATCTTCCAGCATAATCAGTTGATTATAATCTCCCAATCAACGTAGCTTAATTATGATCCTTCAACCACTATCACACATTATAGTCCTCCAACCACAATTGACCACTATCGCTAGATTACAGTCTATTAATTAATGTCACCCCACTATAATATCTTAACCAATATTACCCAAGTAGGCCAATGCCTATTGATTTTGTTTCATACCATCGTCAATGATGCTGACGCACATTGCCACATGTGAGATTGATACATGTCATCATCGCAAATGTCGACGCCTTCCATCTTTGTCACCGTTGATGTCAATGCATGCCATCACATTTTAGGATAATATAGGCCTAATGGTGTGTTTAAGCATTGGTTGTTCATTTATGGTCCAAAGGGAGTGATTGGGTGGTGGTTATACAATGGATATAAGGAGGTGGCCTAACCATAATGGCCCATCGTTGGTTTAATGATAATGATCAGGCACTGGTCCAGCGGTGGTCTAACGACAACAATCAGGGAGTTGCCTAATGTTGGTGCTCCAATGGAGCTTCAAGATTCTTCAAGTCTCTGAATTCTCTTGAATCTAAAGTTAGGATCATAGCAATCTTTCATGTTGAGAATGTATGTCTATTTATAAATTTTTGATAGAGGCATGCCCCGTAATTATATAGAGACAATTTGGGAATCTCCAATGGACAATATTTATTGATTCCATTGATAGTAAACTATTTTTTAAATATTTAAATGTCTTAATGATTTTAAAACTAACTGATCTTAAGTTCATTTGATTTGCCTTGTTGAGATGCTCAATTTAATGATCATTTTGCATCCAACTGATGTCCCAAATTTTCAATTATGATTTTTTAGTGTTTGATTTGGGATTATTTGTATTCAAATCAAATCACTTTTAGTGTTGATGAGTTTCTCTTGTAGAGATATTTAGTTGAACTATGAATTCGTTAAAATTGAAATTTTGATTGCCTTAAATTTGATTTTTAAGTTTAAACTTTAAATTATACATTGATATTTACCCCCGACCAAAGCCTTTTTTTCTCTCCTAGATGTAGTAGGCGCCTTTCATTTGATAGATAATTGTCATTATTTTCCTTGATATTATTATTGAAAGTTCCTTATGTCATTATCTTTGTTAAATAAAAGTTCAACACTTCTATCAATTGATCTTCCATATTTTTGCAAATATTCAACAATTTCTTAATATTAATCATATATGTCATTAATAAAAACTTCATTTAGATCCTTAGTCATGACAACCGAAATTGTTTAATAAGAATAGTTAAGAAATAAATAACTAAACGATTTTAATCTCTATCATTTTCAAGAAAGAGCACAACTAATTTGGACGGCCGAGGGCCCAAAAACGTTGGGCCCAAGCCCAAATATGACCTCCCTGTTCCGCAATCTACGCGGACAACAGCTGTCGTTTTCATGCTCACCAAATGCCACCTGGCCACATAGTTAGCACGCCACGTGCATAGCGAGTGACGTGTAAGACGGTGGGAGTGGCATTAATTAATCATTATTTGTTCAAATATCGCTTCGTATGACCGCCCTACCGACAAATCCCCGTCCTGTTCTACAAATACATAATAATTCATTATTTTTTATATGACCTTTGAGATCGTGCCAATAGATTATTGTTTTTTTGGGGGAAAATTTTGTCTCATGATCATTGCTTTAAAAATCGGATTGAACGGCCGGTCCGATCGGTTCAATCGTGGATCAGTTTGACGGACGAATCGGTTCAACCTGAAAATCAACTTTGTTTCAAACTGGTCTGTTTTGGGCTAGAACCGTCAATTCAACAAGTGAACCGGCGAACTGGTCCGGATTTTTTAAAATCGATCGGTTAAAAATTTTTAAATATAAGTAATTAAATAAATTATTTAATATTAAATAAATTATAAAATTGTATTATATATTTTATGATTTATTATCATAATTTCTAAGAATAGTTAATTTATATCTTTAATATTATTTAGACTCTTTTATATGTTTAATGTGAACAATTTAACTGTTATTACTTCTTATTTATTTGTTTGATTAAATTTGATCTAATTTGCATTATAAAAAATTAAATTCATAAATAATGATATTTTATATTTAGTTTTTATTTCACTTTTAGATGAGACTACACTAAAAATAATAACATCCAATGAAGAGGACGTAAGAAAGCAATATGCAATTAAAAAAATTTAGGTTTTAATAATTTATATAATAAATTGGATACTAAAAAAAGATATATGTAAAAATTAGTCAAACAAAAAGATAGTAGTAATGATTTAATTCAAATGAAGTGCCTAAAGGATGAAGATAAAAATTTATTTTTATTAGAAGATGATATTTAACAAAGATAGAAGGTAATGTAGGAAAGTCTTTCATCTTAGAGTTGTACATATAACCAACACACAAATCGAGAAATTAGAAACACAATATTTTTTATGAAGAAAACACTGGAAAATGAAAAAAATTATGGGGTCATGCCTAGTTGAAATGATTATACTATTGTTTGAATATATTATAAAGATTGACCCGTCCCTAAACTTGTGGGCGGTCAATTTACAGTTGTCTAGAAAGTGGGTTGAACTTTGTGTTGATGATGGTGAACGGGTAGAAGTTTGACGGTGGTAAAGTAGAAGTCCGACAATTGTCGGGCAGAAGTCTGGGAAGGGTCAATGGAAAGAAGGAAGTCCGGCAACTGTTGGATGTCGGGGAGAAGTCTGGTGACGCTTGGTGGCCAGACCTAAGTTCTACAATGATCGATGGATGGGCGGTGGTCGAGGTGGAGAAATCGCTGGAAAAAGAGCTCTATGTTTATAAGGCCTCGTCGAACTATCCCTATGCATACCAAGAGGAGGATGAATTGGTTGTTTTAAAATTTTCTTTAACAAACACAAAAAAAAAGTATATATATATATTCCAAATAGCTTATACGATATGGATCGTTCAATACGATTAGTTTTGAAAAAAATTACACATCTAATTTTCTCTCCCCTACGCATGTGTACGGTTACTAAGTTTAGCGTTCACCAAATGAGCATCCACCAAATACAAGACTTTCAGTAAAGAAAAGTTAAGTTAAATAAAATTAAAAATTAAAAATCTTAAAGAACTTTAAACTTATT